CCCCAAAACCCCAAAACCCCAAAACCCCATCAATCAAATATCATAATTTTTAATAAGGTTTATATCAATAATCAAAAAGTAAATATACCATTAATAAAAATCAACTAATCAAATTCCTTAATCTTTTCTCCATTTATATCAGTAATATGATGTCTTAATTCAGGTTCAAAGCCTTATAAAATAATATCCCTAATATTTTGCTTTTCATTTTCTTTTTATCTATACAGAAAATCATCATCTTTTTCAAATTCGTTAACAAGATCACTTAAATCAGGAATTTTAATACTAAATGGTTCATCTCTTCCCTCATCTTCTCCCTCACTATTAGGAAAATCTACTTTATCAGGAGCAATTAATTCTTCAGGATATCTAAATACTGACTCCAAGCATACCTGAGCTATTTAAACTGACCTTCGAGGTCTGTAAAATCTAGATCGCTCAGTATTATATTATTCAATTTATCTTAAACCAAAGTTTCCAGGAAGTACTTATGGAATAACATCTAAAGTATTTAGAAATGCTCCACCTACTGTGTGATTATCATTGATAATCTTATAGCCATTATCAGTCATTTTAAAATTTCTAAGATAGATTTCATCTCTTATTTCAGGCCTCTTAATCTCTTAAGGGAAAATATAATATTCAACATCAGTTTCAACGAATTCATTTACTCTTATATAGTTCCTCAGAATAGGATGCCAACTTAGCACAAGGATTACTGGATAATCAATTGGAAACAGAAATGATCTTGGCATAAATACTACAGCTCCTGATATCACATTTCTTCTTTCTATGTCAGTATTTTATGAATTCTTCATTTCAAGAATAATTTCTTCAAGTTCATGATCACCACATTTTTACCTTAGAATACTCTCGTATTCGCAACCTGGTCTGTACATTTTATCGTGGCCATAGTCATCATAAAACGTTACATGAGGAATCTAGATCTTCTTTTATCTGTGAATTTCATAATCAAGCACATCAACAGAATCATATGGAACCATATCATCAAAATTTATTGGTGGGCTTGGCTCTACAGCTTATTGAATTACATGCAAATTCATCTCATATTCAATCGGCAGCTTCATTTGGGCAACTTAAATATTCATTTCTTGAAAGCTAAATTTAAATTTGACGTGGATTATCCCCTCCTCACTATCCTCTTCTTTTAATCTAATATTCTATGCTGTCTTCCAATCTTCTGCAACCATTCTCTTTACATCATCCCTATTTTTAACTTTTTCATCTTTAAATCGATTCTTAATCTTCTCTAGTCTTTTTCCTGCTCTCATTCTGATTATCATAATGTTGCACGATCTTTGAAAAACTCCAACAAGTTTAACTCTAGTAGCAATCTGATTAGATTAAACTATTTCCCATTTAGGACCTTATTCTAGGTATAATCCAACATCTGTGCATACTTAATCATAATCAATAGCAGGAGCAAACCTCTAAACATCTCTCTCTCTAATTTTATCTAATTTTTTTTCCTAATAAATTTACACTAATACTTATCTTACAAATTAATGCTATCTATAGTCCTTGATTTTGCTTCTAAATTAAGGAGTCACTTTCGGATCACCAATGCAAATAAAGAATTTTGTATACTTATCCTTCTCAAGTTCCTCCAGCTTTCTGTAGTCTTTTAAAAATTATAGTTCTTCTGGGTTCGCCATAGTACTCCTTAACAATTTTTACTCCTCTTCTTAATAATCTTAGTCAGGCTAGTTATAATTTAGTTTTTATATAGCCTCATTGTCTAGTTTGTCAAGTCTAACACCATTTTTAGAAGATGATCTTGCCTCTATTTTATCTGTTACAACTATTCTATTATTAGTCCTTTTTATCTAAAAATCAACTTATTTTGTAGGGGTACTTTAAGACACCTTATTGTTTATTTTTTTCAAGGCTTCTTATACATCTAATTTTGAAGGTAGTGCGTTTCCTACTATTTTACAAGTAATTGGCTGATTATTGAATTCATTTGTCTTAAAAATAACTTCGCATTCAGCATGAGTAAATGTAGTAGGAGTATAGACAACATCAATATAAACTGTAGACAAGCCAGGTATATCTCCCCCAAGTGGGGCTAAAAATTAATTAGTTATGTAAATAAATACTTATCATTATATCTGGGTGTGCCTATTTAATCTCTATTTCAAATCCAAAATTTATTGGGCAATTACTCTCAATACTTACAGTCTTAATATTTTAAGTTTATATCTAATCTTACCTTTGTATAGGTTTCATCTACTTTAAGATAGGAACCTAGATCTATTTGTTGAGGGAAAAGCTATTCAACTCTATTGTTGATCACAGGATATGCATGAAGTGGTATTAGCATTTTATCATTATCACAATGAATACGGATAATGTCACTGTAATGCCTAAATTCTTCATTAGGTGTGAATTAAACATAAATGTCCTCTCCTATTCCAGGAGGAAGTTTTGCCTTTTTTCCGTATTTAATTTTAAAATTTGGAGTTGATGGTGCTAAGACAACCAGTCTTTAAGGTTTATCAGAGTTGTTCATAATTCTAACTTTCTAAATATGGGTCTTTAGGATTTCAAACCCTCTAAAACTAACCTCAGCCGGCATCGCGCTAAATATTTAATTGATACTGATAGGTTGATAAAGAACTAAAATCAATTAGTAAGTAATATCTTTACTTTTTCTCAGTGTAGATTATTGGGTATCTGGCCCTGTTCGCTAGGTTACTCTGTTTTAAAAATCAGTGTTTTCTCTGTCGAAGTCATTCAATGAATCATCATTAATGTTTTGCTGATTTCCATTATTTTGATTTAAACTACTTAGCATGCTATATATATTTTTTAATTTAAATTTTATCAGTTTAATCAGAGTTGATTTGAATGGGGTTTTGGGGTTTTGGGGTTTTGGGG